TATGGCGCTAATAATCACTGGCTTCGTCGTTATCACTATCAAAACTCAAGGCATCAGGTGTAGAGCTGTTGGAGAAGGTTTAGAGGACGGTGATAATAATGAAGAAAAAGCAAGTTTGCTGAATGTTCAATAAACGTTTGTTTTTAAGATCTTTAATATCGTGCAGTAAACCACGCGTAAACATTTAAAACCTGTCAGGCTGAAATTTTCATTTAAATTAACTACTCCTTATTAGTGCTATTTAGTCTTATCAGTATATTGTAATTGATCCTAACTTTAATTCAGTATTTGATAGCTGCGATAGAAATGTTGACTAATAAACATGTCTTCCTTTTTCTGAAGTAATAAAAAATCATTCAAATTTTGCTTTCAAATTTAAGATGGTAMATATCAGGGGATTCCATTCACTTGATTTCAAGAAAAATGTCTCGCCAAAGGAAGTCCAACCGCTCGTAAAACAAACTAGACGCTCTGAATGAACCATACATCACGCCGTGAGAGTAGTTCAAAAGATGTTCCTCCACGATCTTTGGCATCTTTGTCAATCAGCCTCCAATGACTCGGCATGCACATATCTATCAGTAAGGCGGTAACTGTTAGGAATACCCGTATAAATGGCTCGACTGGATGGTCGCATAGCCATTTTACACGAATTGGAAACCAAGTACTTGTTTTGACACTGATTTTGGAMGAATCTGCAAGGTGTCGGCTGTAAATCCAGAAAACGTTCGCCAGCCACCACAGCGCTGTGCTTACTAAGATTGAGCCTGCGACAATATGGCCAYCTAAGTTGCTTGTCATCTTTTTTTAATCGCTTTGATCGATGAAGTCTATAGCATTCAGTGGCGCTGATGGATTTGTATTCTGTAATAATGATCAGGAATATATAATTTTATTCAAAGCCCCACGGCGGTCTTAGTAAAGTTGTTCGAGCGAGGAAAATAAATGTCGTCGAGGCCCACTGAATTGGTTTGCTTTATTTGCTGTTGTTATTTTCGAATTTCAATGACAAAATACCTTGAATATCAAGTAGTTTTTACAACCCGTCAAATGGAGAAATGCAGTCCGGAAAACCATGAAAAGAAGACCAACTAACAAACATTAACGAGTTGCAGCTATTTAAAAACCACTTAATAGTATCATTCAACCAGAACTCATAAAATATACAAATGGCAAACGCTTAAACCATGAAAAAACGTTAGTCACTATATTCTAACTTGAGTGGTGTCGTAACTGCATGACAACTTAATGAAAATTGAAATTCAGGGTATTTTATGATTGAAATTTGAAAGTAACAAGTACTAATAAAGCAAATCAATTCAGTGGTATGGACGGAATTTTTTTCCTCGCTCGAACAACTTTAAAAAACAGCTGTCTCGCTTCATATAAAATTGCATTCCTTGATCGTTATCAAAGCATACAAATCTTACACGAATTTCAGCGTCACTGCGCATGTACTATAGATTCAATCGATCAAAATACTTAAAAAAAAGATGTCGAGAAGCAACTTAGATGGCCATATTGTCGCAGGCTCAATCTTAGTAAGCACAGCGCTGTGGTGGCTGGCGAACGTTTTCTGGATTTATAGCCGACACCTTGTAGATTCTTCCAAAATCAGTGTCAAGACCCGTACGTGGTTTCCAATTCGTGTAAAATGGCTACGTGACCATCCAGTCGAGCCATTTATANAATTTCAATGACAAAATACCTTGAATATCAAGTAGTTTTTACAACCCGTCAAATGGAGAAATGCAGTCCGGAAAACCATGAAAAGAAGACCAACTAACAAACATTAACGAGTTGCAGCTATTTAAAAACCACTTAACAGTATCATTCAACCAGAACTCATAAAATATACAAATGGCAAACGCTTAAACCATGAAAAAACGTTAGTCACTATATTCTAACTTGAGTGGTGTCGTAACTGCATGACAACTTAATGAAAATTGAAATTCAGGGTATTTTATGATTGAAATTTGAAAGTAACAAGTACTAATAAAGCAAATCAATTCAGTGGTATGGACGGAATTTTTTTCCTCGCTCGAACAACTTTAAAAAACAGCTGTCTCGCTTCATATAAAATTGCATTCCTTGATCGTTATCAAAGCATACAAATCTTACACGAATTTCAGCGTCACTGCGCATGTACTATAGATTCAATCGATCAAAATACTTAAAAAAAAGATGTCGAGAAGCAACTTAGATGGCCAYATTGTCGCAGGCTCAATCTTAGTAAGCACAGCGCTGTGGTGGCTGGCGAACGTTTTCTGGATTTATAGCCGACACCTTGYASATTCTTCCAAAATCAGTGTCAAGACCCGTACGTGGTTTCCAATTCGTGTAAAATGGCTACGTGACCATCCAGTCGAGCCATTTATACGAGTATTCCTAACAGTTACCGCCTTGTTGATAGATTTGTCCCTGCCTAATCATTGGACGTTAATAGACAAAGATGGCAAGATCGTGGAGGGACATCTTCTGTAYTACTCTCACGGCGTGATGTATGGTTCATTCATGATGTGGTCTCTGGTCGAGGTCTTGCAGTTTTACCGTCTGACCCGACTGCCTCAATGCATTGAACATGTGTTTGCTTCCATTGCCTTCYTAAACGTAGGGTTTCTTTTCTTCTTTCACTTGCAAGGRAGRACTGAAATMGACAAGGTGTTCCATCACGTTGTTATGGTCATAGCGTTTACGTCAGCTGTTGTTTTCCTACTTGAAGCATGGAGAAAAAATAGCTTCTTGTTGATGGTGATCCGTACTGCTCTCTTCGGCCTCCAAGGGACATGGGTTTTCCAAATCGCTTTCTCGCTGTATGTTGCCAAACCATGGAAGAATACCCGTGGAAACCGAGAGTTCGTAGGCATCGTCGCCACTTGGCATGTCATGGGTGCTATGGCGCTGATAATCACTGGCTTCGTCGTTATCACTGTCAAAACTCAAGGCATCAGGTGTAGAGCTGTTGGAGAAGGTTTAGAGGACGGTGATGATAATGAAGAAAAAGCAAGTTTGCTGAATGCTCATTAAAAGTTTGTTTTTAAGATCTATATTAATCTTGCAGTAACTAGGCTTATAAGAACCTAAACTTTAAAAACTTGTCAAGCTGAAATTGTATTTAGATTTTAACTAGACCCTGTATGCAGGGTTGACACGTACCCTTTGTTGTGCATGAGGTTGTGAGATCATTAGTAAACTAGACCCTGTATGCAGGGTTGACACGTACCCTTTGTTGTGCATGATGTTGTGAGATCATTAGTAAATGAGGCCTTATTAAAACCTTACTGATACAGAATAAAGAAATGATTTGATCCATCGAGCCTTGCCAAGATATATGTGATTTTTGCGATAAGCTTATATGTGGTGGCTCTTAAAATTTCAGCTGTAACTGCCTTTGTGATTCTGCAGTATAATTTTAAGGTCAGATATACCCGGAGATATATAACTAGGCATGATTTGGTTACAACGTGACGCTTTATTAACTTTTGATATGATAGTAACACAATATTTTTGCACATCTACATTAAAACTCGACATATCTATTGCAGATGTTTGAATAGCCATGGAATTAATAAGCATTTTCTAAAGAGTTGTATTGATATTCAATCATTGGAACCCAATCACTATATCGTTGCCGTTGCTTCACGAGTAGTAAGCGTGTTGATCCCTGTATTTGAGATCTCCTCGTCATCACAATTCAACATACCCTTGCTCCGAACACCCAGACAAGTAATGAGTTCCAGATTTTGGTCGTAAACCTTCATGTTCTGTTCCATATTCGTTAGTAGAGACAATATTCATCAAAATGGTGGATAAAACATTGTGCAGAACGAGTTGGAAATGTTGCGAACGGGATTATCGACAGGCTATAGCGTTCGGAATACACAACGTAATGTGATTGGCTACCGGATATATAATTCACAATGTGATTGGCTACGAAGATGTACCGAAGCCAAACTTTCGACATTGTGAAAAAAAAACTGACGAAAAAAAAAAACAAGAAAGTAGCAGCATTTTACTACACGTCCCCTGCATAGCAGGGTACGTGTAATTACTCCTTCATAAGTGTTATTTAGTCTTTAATATTGTTATTGAGCCTAACTTTAATTCAGTATTTGATAGTTGCGCGATAATTATGTGAAGTGAATTTAAAACAATAAAAAAAGGAATGGAAACGAGGTCAAAGGGTTAAGATGGCAAATATCAGGGGATTCCATTCACTTGAATTCAAGAAAAATGTCTTGTCTGTAGCAAAAGAATATTTTATTGCTTCTTGCTCAATTCAATAAGAATATTTTTCAATTCCTAAGCTAACTTCCGCTTTATGTTGTATGCATGTATCCCCGAGTCTCGCCAAAAGAAGTCCAACCGCTCGTAAAACAAATTATGCACACAGACAGTTGTCTGCAGGAGTCTACTATTCTCTTTAGACTATATTCGACTGTCATATCAGACAATAACGCTACAAGTGGTTTTGTTTTGTTTCTTTCTTCGAACTGTGATGCAGGGAGACTTCAAGAAGACTATTGATATGTAGTAAAGTTGAAGAAATCTTTTCAGAGCATTGAAAAACATTTGAATTTACCCATTACCCAATATGTATTACTTTCGGTAGACGTTTTTACAACAAGTTGTAAATTTTCTTGATTTCTGATTGGTCGAGAGCCGTGGTGGCACGGGGATTGTTATCCCAATCGCAGAATCTTTTTTCTGTGGTAAAAAGCGATCTCGTGGTATGTTGTCTTGTTTAAATTACCGACACGGTTGGCGTCATCGAATCGTCTAAATTGTTGTTTATGAATAACAATTTTGATCAAATAAATGGTTGTAGGTTGGTCTATTCATTACGATGTAAGCGCTACTTCAACCTAAAAGTTATTTATTTTCGTCGAGCTTTCGGCTCACCGAGCCATTATCAAGACTGAATGAAAAAACGTTACATTTTACAAAACAACATAAAAACAATGAGCGCGCGCTCTGAGAAGATCTAATAAGTGCGCGGTAACTAACTTCTAATTACACAGAGATAATTTTGCGGGATCATCTGCCCGTTGTCCCTATTAAACAGAACGTTCTTCTTCTTCGTTTTTTCATTCAGTCTTGATAATGGCTCGGTGAGCCGAAAGCTCGACGAAAATAAATAACTTTTAGGTTGAAGTAGCGCTTACATCGTAACAATTTTGATGATTTGACGACGCCAACTGTGGTAAATAATCATAAATTTGTTAAATTTTAATTATTTTATTTGGAGATTTAGAGATTTAATTTCCATGATTTGAATGCCGATTCCCGCTGGTGTAATGTGAATGGAACCAAAATAATAAATAAAGTAAACATGCCTCATACCTATTAATAAACTAGTAGCCTCGATTTGAGCCTTCCCATCATAGGAATCCCAACCGTTCGTAAAACAAATTCTGCATACAGACAGTTGTCTGCAGGAATCTACTATTCTCTTTACAATGACTCGAATGCAGTCCACAGTAGGGGACCACAATTCCAAAAAGAAGTTACATGCCTCATACCTATATATTAATAAACTAGCCTCGATTTGAGCCTTCCCATCATGCACTATCAAGTGTCTTCGGTTTTTCCTTCTTAGATAAATTTTCTCCTTTTATTTAGTAATCTAGCGAAAGACTTGGAATCCATTCTTAAACAACATTTTCAGGATCTTCTCGAGACTATTTCTGCAAAAGACCAACTAGAGAAAACAGACGTTGACAAAACTCGTAAATTCCTGGATATCTGCGCACGAAGCGATCACTGGACTTATACAAAGGAACGCCCCATAACATCGTGGGAGACCTTCGTTCATCGAGTGGCTCGGATTTTTAAATTCTTGAAGCAGAAAATTGATGAGGACCGTGAAAAACACAGGTGATGTGATGAATTTAACGCTCCTTGCACATGGCCAAGTTAGACGACCTTTGCGTCCAAACTCGCTGAATTATAAAAACCAGAACCATCCGACAATTTGGCATATAGTAAGACGAGTGATAATCCAAGGATGGAAAGCATACTGTGCAAAATTTGCACAGTATGCTTTCCATCCTTGGATTATCACTCGCTGAATTATATTAATGGACATATTGACAGTGTCATATTGTATGTACCTTGGGGCTGCTTCCTTCACACAACAGCTGCATGGGGAATAGCAACAGGAACGATAATGCCAGAGAAAGTCACATACAATCCTAATATGGTATTTCCAGGCCCTCCGGACAGATGGAATACACTCCCGAATGATTATGTTCGTATTCACTCCGCTTGAGATGAACCAAAGCATTTATACTGCACTTCGTTACATTTCCCATCGGTTTCAATATCCTCTTCGTGGTCTTGTTATACCTTTTTTTCAGGAACCCGCTGGACCGCGTCTTCCTCACGACGTAGAGCTATGGGCTTTATGTGCTTCTGTAGGAGTTTGTGCATGGAGYTTTGGTGTAACCTACAGAATCCACATTGCATCTTGTTTGTAACTAAATGATATACCTTGGTCTTTTATGTACGGACCTCGATGCTCTCGGTTCGTACTGTCAAGACCTCGGTCTGATATTTTCCCGTACAGACTTCGCGCTCGGTTAATAACCTCTTAGTATTTTATTTAAAAAATACGCAGTCGAAGACTGCTTGTGGCTAGAGCTGAGCTGGTATAAAAAATTAGAGAATTCACTAGTAAAAGAAAATAAGAAATCAACTAAGAATAGTGAATAAGCATTAGTTTTATTGAGAATAAAAAAGGGAAAAAATTGAGAAGAGTAGAAGAATGTTTATAAATAAAGGTAATCAGGATTTGATGCACGAAGCAAATACATATGAAATTTGAAAAGTTTCAATTTGAGTTTCATTCAAATTTCAAATCGTTATGCCAAAGGGGCCATCGTCACATCAAAGCCTCAGCAAGAGAAAACCCAGGCAGCACTTGCACAGTACAGTTCCTGTCTCAACTGCCCAGAGCCGGATTCGTTCACCATAACTACGTTGAGTTGCGTCCGATACTCTCGTTTTCCTTATATGCAAACTAGCCCAAATTTTCAGTAAACTTGAAAAACTTCTTAGGATAAACAAACCACAAGTTACTGACACGATTTAGCGGTGTATGTAAAAGAAACTAGACGATCATAGATTGCTTACGTGGGCTTCCTGTAGCTGCGACAGTGGTATTTCATTTACACAATACAGTCTTTGTTTTGCAATAAGTCAAGACAGAATTAAGTTAATATAAGTTATTTATTACATCATAATTTTTTACAGAACTGAACTCTAAGTAACTTCTTTAGATATCATGTCTTTCTCAGTTTTCCAAAACAACTAGCTCGACATTACGCTCAAAGAGCGTCTATAATATTCAAAATATGCAAGATATCTGAAAGGTCATATAAACAATAGAAACGGTACAGTCTTTGCAGTTTTGTCAGTATCGTATAACTTTGAATAATACTTTGATCGTTTGAATCATGTAAGATCTTGTGTTTCTGTTCTTTTTATTTGGTGTTTTTCTTTTATTTGTAATTTATAATTTTACATCTGGTGTTCTGTGCCATCATCAAACAGGTGTACCTGACAGTTCATATTTTTGGATTTGTCTAAGTTTTTCAAGTTAAACAATCATCAAAACAAATTTTAAAGAATTAAAATGCTTCATACATAATATAGATTTTGTACAGAGTTCAGTAAGCTCACGTGCAGTTTTCAAGTTCAAACACATCGTCAGTTTAGAAAATGCAATCAATATTTTTCAGATGAGGTTTGATATGTTTTAGTGTATCGAATAATTACTCTAGTCAAAGTATCAACCTTAAATATCCATGTGATTTCTTATTTTTTGAAGATTTTGTGACCCGAAACCTGTTTCAATTTGTTGCCATCATTTGCTAGGTTTGGTGCAGAGTCCAGCGTTGAAAGTCTCTGTCTGGATCCTATCAGCATACATTCTGTTTTCGACTGGTTTAGCGTAAGCTTATTTGATATGAGCCACTCATTAACGCTTGCAAGGTCTTGGTTAAGGTAATAATCGATTTCATCGGTATTATTACTTGCAAACGTTAAATGGGTGTCATCTGCATACATACGGGGTCGAGAGTACCTCAGACAATTTGGTCATTTATGTATATCAAAAACAGTAACGGCCCTAGAATTGTACCCTGAGGAATTCCACAAAGAATGGTACGACTGCTAGAAAAGTAACCGTTAACAAAACATTTTTGATTGCAATCACTTAAATATAACTTGAACCAATTAGTTGCGGCACTCTCGAGGTTTCTTGAGCTTTCTTGAGGTCAAAGAAAACTACGGCGTTGACGTTGCCGCGATCAAGTATTGAATGCCTAATCGTTGGTAGTCTCTAAAAGCGCAGTCACCGAGGAATGCAGGGATCGAAATCCTGATTGACAATGCGGACAGCAGATTATTGTCAGTCAAGAAAAGCGTAAACCTGATCATATACAATTCTCTCAAAAACCTTTCCAACGACTGGGACGATTGATATAGAACGATAGTTGTTAAGGTCTTTGTGCTCACCTATCTTAAACAAAGGTATTATTTTTAACAATTTCCATTCATCAGGAAAAATAAACACACTCTCTCTCTGTCTGGGGTAGTCTAGGAACGAATATGCAAATGACGTAGTCTTGATCACCGAAGCCCAACCGTTCGTAAAATAAATTCTGCATACAGACAGTTGTCTGCAGGAGTCTACTATTCTCTTTACAATGACTCGAATGCAGTCCACAGTAGGGGACCACAATTCCAAAAAGAAGTAGCATACCTCATACCTATTAATAAATTAGCCTCAATTTGAGCCTTCCCATCATATGACGTCGTTACAGACTGGTACACTTCTAATTAGCATATTATTACTTCTAAAGTTGAGCGCCGAACAGCAGATTGGTAAGTAGAAAATTTATACTGAGTTAGTATTTGTAATTTCAAAAAAAAGCTAGGGCAAATTAAGATACATTTACAAGCAAATCGTACACTGAGATGACGGATATTAATAGCAGCCATTAGTTTATAGGTATATGATTTTTGTAGATTTATATGCCTATATATCTTTGACATTGGAAACAATGTATAATCAAGCCGCCAATGGCGACACAACTCGAAGATTAGACATTAGACAAGTATACCGTGGACATAAATCTGTATGAAGCCTCAGTCTGTTCAGATATGGACTAATTTCGACAAAAAATCTATAAAATGAAAATATTGAAGTTGAAATTTTGAATTTAATAATTTATACCTTAACATATCGACAATGAATTTATATAAACACCATCACAATTTCTTAGTTTGAAGTGATGATACTTTCACTTTGAATGCTGACCGTTAAAATTTATATTTTGAGTAGTGTCGTCCGTGCATCGATATTTTTACGAAGGATAAAGTTTATATGAATCGATGAGCATTAAAAAAATCTCCTAAGGCGACTTCTGAAATCAACAGATTCTTATGCAAGAACTTCCAGACCTCATAAATTACATTTTGTGTGTTTAAAAAGCCATTTCTGTATAAAACACCTGGCCATCTTGGTTACGGATTTCTAAATGCCTGTATGTATACAGAAAAAAATTAGTGACTTATCAACTAGTCCCTCACACACATCATCTCCCTCCTATAACTCTTCGATTGCTTCGCAATCTTCGAGTTAAAAAAGGAGAATTTTAGGCCCACTAATCTACCGAAGACAAAGGTAACCTCGATCAAGCTTTAATTTTAGAGTATCAATACAGTACAAATCACAGAACCATGACCACCCAGAAACACTTCATCATTGGATTTACCAATTATATAAGGCTCTAAAGTATATATCAAGATGTTTATAAGATGTTTTATAGTTCAATACTGCACGTGTTGAAGATCATCTTTAAAGAAATAAATGAATCTTCTGGAATATAAATGCGATCACTATTTCTGCATTTATTCCGGTCAGTCACGGTTTTGTGATTCCTTCGCTGCTTCATCTAACCAGTCTTATGACACTGAGCGACTGTCAATCAAATGGAATCAAATGCGTTTTAATGAAGTGTACTTTCCTCCTAACAACTAAAGCAGCCAATTTTGGTTATCTCCAAATACTTCTAGAGTAGTTTTTCTGGCAAAAATGTATATAAAACAATGATAAAACACATTTTATATACACCGTAACCATAGGTTAGGTAGCGGGCATAAGTCCCAAGACGTTAGGCGGATCTGCGAGACATTCAGGGCATTTACAGATGATATTCCATGGTCCAATGAAGCAGTAGTGCTTACTCGACATAATCGTTATGTTTAAAAGCTTCTAGTACGAATATAATTGAAGATATTTCTCGATGAAATCAGTGGTTTTTTGGTGTGTTTGTATGGCGTGTTTGGGTTCAATGTCTGAGTCCATAGGGGGTCGCATATTAATGTATCTATTTTTAGTAACTGTGCGGAGCGCTATTGACATACTGACGAAGTTTGAATGAAATCTTAACCTAAATTTTCGAGATATTTGAGCATTTCAAAATTTTTCTCGAAACGATGAGGCCATGTTTTAAGTCCTCGTTTGTGACAATATTCGAATGATAAATGACAAAACTACAATAGCTTAAAAGCTTAATCTTTCGTACAACTGTTGTCCAAGGCACATGCCTATTAGTTTACTACGAAAAAAGTTATTGCCATTTACGCAACTAGTATATTTTAGAAATTTAAACAACTTCATTTTGATTTGCGGGGGGTCGACTTGCCATCGACCCCCCGCCCCCTCCCGAAAATGAGGTAAATTTTGTCACGCTGTAAAATTAGCATAAAGCTGATATGTCAACTAACGCACACGAGCTGCTGAACGAAAACTTTCAAAAATTATTTTATCGTAATGTAGCCCTTTCGAAAGCTCAAATGTAGCAGGCAGTGTTTGTTGAGGATGGAAATTTGATTATTTGAGCGATAACGCGTAGTGTTTTAAGGAGGAAAGATTCTTTTACGTTCCAAAATGAAGTTGTGATGATGTTTCAAGCTATTGTAGTTTTGTCATTTATCATTCGAATATTGTCACAAACGAGGACTTAAACATGGCCTCATCGTTTCGAGAAACATTTTGAAATGCTCAAATATCTCGAAAATTTAGGTTAAGATTTCATTCAAACTTCGTCAGTATGTCAATTATAGTGTTATTTTAGAAATGACTCTGAAAATTTTATTACAATCTCTGCGATGAGTTTTGAGAAAATTGACTTTGAAGAAAAATGAAGGTGTTTTTATTTTGCATTGATTATCCAAATAGCTTCAAATTTTTTGGCAAATTTATCTATAAATAAGAATTTATTAATAATTACTTATACTTCTGTGAAAATTTGAGTGCAATCGAATCAAAATTTGCGACGTAGTTGGAGTTTAGAAATACGCGCGAAACGCTATTTATTACGATCGAAACACCTTATTAACACAAGTTTTACGAATTTATAAAGTCACTCAAGGCTGTCATTTTGTCGATTCTTTGTCTTTTAAAAATCTCTCAATCGAGTTCTATTTTGCTGGCATAATGGTCGTTTCAAATGTCCACACTTCTTGGCGTAAAAAATTCAAATAGATCGCTGTTTTTCCAATATATCTTTTGCAGTATTTCCAATACAGCATCATCTTTTTCTTGTTGTCGAAATGTACTAAGCGAGAAGTCATCCTGTAATTCCTAAAAACTGAGCCTCAAAACGCTTAAGGAATCCTTGAGGATCCTTGAGGAAAGTTGATTACTTTTCATCTATCACTAATCGATTTCCTGGATGTGCAGACGCGTCGAAGTTTATGACTGAAAATTGGCGGGAAATTTCTGTGCTTTGATTCCGCTCTCTCTTGATTTTTGCTTTTGTTTGATTTTTCTAATATTATCAAGATGAAAGATAAGTGTTTGAGTAAAAAATTCGATATTCAACAAATGATTTTGTTGCTTTTTTCTTCCTTTTCGCACGGAGTATGGATTTCCTGTGATGTACAGACGGAAGGAAGAAGTACAGAAACGTTCGTACGCCGGGATTCCTGTGTCGGTCCATGAAAAATGGACTCTTTGGTTTACCATTTTTTTTAGCTATGGAGCTCCGCTACAAATTTATTGCTGCGTTTGGCGTAAATTTCAAGTCCTTTTAGACAGAAACCTACTCGAAAATGAGTGTCTTTACTGTGTACAACCGTACCGTAACATGCGAAATTAAGAGACGCATAAAGAACTGGCGAGTGAAAACTTTTTTTTTTGTAGATAAACCTGCATTTTAGTGGCTCAACATTTGACAGTAATGTTCTCGACGTAAAATACGTTCACAGCGTACTTAGTCGACTTCTTTGTATTCCCAGGTGTCATTTTGTCAACTAGTTTTTTATTCTCATCATCACAGCTCTTTATAAAGCGGTTTTGATCACTTTCCATATAGCTTTTTTTTGTAAAAACAAATCTGAAAACCACGCGGACAAATATCACCTTCGGACGAGGGATTTTGCCTGATACCCGTCCGCCGAAAATGTACCACGTGACGCGTTTGGACCAATGGATGCGCGTGAAAATATAGTGATGAGATATAAGGTTAAAGTGCGGGTACGATGAGATCCGAGGATAGGCGGTTTTTTTAGTTTTTGCTAGTTTATACTATAAATAATACCATAAATAAGGTATTTTACATTTTAGATGAAGAGAACATGTTCAAATTTGCCATTATTGTAATTTTTAAGTTTGATGTCTTGGGACGGACTAAAAGCGGCAGCCATGAGGCGCCATCTTAAGCTCGCAGTCGGTCTACCATGACTCTGTCATTGTACTTATTTGTAATTTGAAAGCGCTGAGAGCAGATTTGTATAAGCGCAACAAGGGTGAAGGTTTGATTGCTAAACAATTATTTTTGAGATATTTTAAAAGATATTTTGCAATTGAATTTCGTTATCTTGGTCGTGCTACTGAATAGTTGGAAGAGGGAACTAATCGTTTAGAAGGATATAATCTTCAATTAGAGTTCAGTAATTTTATCGACATCAACTTGTATCGCTATCTACATGTAGTATCCGACGCAATGTAGCGGCCGGTTTGCAATAAATATCGCCTTCGCACATATGCTGATTGTTGTCATGTTGTCATTATTTTACAATTCTTCTCTTTACTGATAGGCATATTTTTTACATTGAAGTGTATCTGCTCTGAAACATTTAAGATAAACGGCTATTCAAACCATGTTTTGAGATCGGTGAATTAGTGAATTATCACAGTACTCATATTGACTTAGGAGGAACCGACGGGCTCCTGGGAGAAATATATCTGTTCTTATTATGTCCCAGCCAGCTGTAAGTCACAACTGGTTGCCAGAAATTCAGAAAAAAAGAACTCTCCAGGCAAGGAATACTCTCTAAGAATTTTTGCCAGGAAAATAAAGATTTCTTTAAAAATGAGCAGTTTTGGACCATAAAAACATTATATAAGCCTTCTTTGACCTTAAAAACGTTCGCCAGGAACAAAATTATTTTTAAGAAGAAAAAGCGCCACATTTGCTTGTGAGATTGTCAACAATGGAGTTCAAAATCCCTTTCCCAGGAAAAAAATCGTACAAGAACAGTTATTTAGAAATACAGACCCCGTCGGCTCCTCCTGTTGACTCCCTAATCAAGCAAGTATAAGCTGCCAATTTTCTTTCGCGTCTCAGCCCCGAAAGGACAAAAAGTATGTCGTTTTACGGGAGAGCACTTTTAAATACTTGATCTTTTTCATTTATATTAAAACAACAAATTACGACTTCATGATAGTGAACTCAATAACATCACGCGCGGTGATAATAATTTTGTACTCAGTTTAATCAATAGTTTAAATTCAAATTCAAAACCGAACTTATCGACGTGTAGCATGACTGGAGTCTTAACTGAACTTAATGAAGACTCCAAAGAAAATAGAAACTTACTTTTATGATAAGCTTTAGGAAAAATCTGAGAATTGAACTGGCCGTGTGCTCCCCATCTCAATGATATGTCTTCAAAGAGCGGATGGATAGTGTGTTTGTTATAGGCCGAAATATATCACTATAATTTTTTCAACGATTGCATTTGAACTCGGAAGGTCTCAGAGACACAACAAAACGTTTGATTCGATGCTCCTGACTTTGTTTCTTCATTATTTTATACACTTCAAACCTTCATTTCCCATAAGTTTTGTATGTCTGAAGGACAACCTCGTTCCTGGGTTAAGCATATGACGTCATATGCTTCACGTTTGGGTAAAACCGCCAACCGATGTCACTTCGGCTCAGATTAATGGCGGATAGGAAAAAAAACGACTTTCAAAGCTCGATTTCTCCTGCTTTTCAATGATTTATCGATACAAAATTCTCAGAAATACTTATTTGGATCTTCATAAAGAGGTATATGTACAAAAACAGCTCAAATTCGATGTTCGGTTTTCATCGTACCCGCACTTTAATTTGTTTAAAATACTTAGTCCCCAGGGCCGGGTTGTTCAAATCCCGATTAGTGCTAATTCTGGGTTAACTCTTAAGGCTGATTTACACGGCAGGATTAACGCTAATCGGACTTTGAACAACTCGACCCGGGGATTTAACCTCGAATATAGTCGATTGACAAAAGGTTGTCGTCAACCGGACTTCGTAGCACGCGACCAAAGCGAACAGGTTTCTGGGTACAAAATTAATGAAATGGCATAACAACGCGCCTTCCAGTATAGTGTAAATTTTTTAGCCTTTTATTCTCTTTTTTAAGAACTCGAAGACAAATATTGAACGTTGTTTAATCTTGAGAAATTATCTTCAGCAGTATGTTTGTAGATGAGTAATATTGAACGTTGTATTCCACGCCATGATGAATACAATGTGAGATGCAAAAATCAACATCCCATGCATGCATAATTAAATTCCCATCATTTGGAACTTTTTGTCACGCTTATGTGTCAGTTCTTCCAATCACAAAGGCGTCCAAATCTCTAAATTGCCAGTTCATTGATTTTTACCCAGAAACCAGTTTGGGCTAGTCGCATTTCGTGAAACGCGGTCGACGACAACCTTTTGTCAATTGACTATATATGTATGCATTGTTTCAGAATGCCAGTCTACGAATTATTTTCAAACAAGAATGGTATGCTTTCTACACAGCTCATCTGGACAGTTATGTAAAAGGTCTTGCAATTAACACAGCTTAATACTACTTAGTACTACTTAGAACAAGGCAATACATATCGGGATTTGGGGCTATTGCAAGAATCAAAGACATATTACGTTATAAAAGACCACACCAACTATACAGTAGCTGAGTACCGTGAAAACAATTCATCGATGTGTTCTATCATAAACATCTTTCGGCGTCGGAATCGCGACTCCTTACCTATAGACTCCATATTTATAGACTCCTTTCCAGATTTAGATTACGACAAAGACAGCCTTTCGACACCATGTGCATATCCATCGGAGCATACCATGAGCAACTTGGACTCTACACATTCATCGATGTGTTCTATCATAAACATCTTTCGGCGTCGGAATCGAGCGCAAAGGCAGGATGCGGAAAGGCCGATGGTTGGCTATAAAATTCCACGTGCTGTATCGTTCGGATACGATCCAGAAATAGATGACCCCAAATACAGCTCTTCGACACCACTGTATTCACTAATTCTATCGGTGAGTGAAATGAGCAACTTGGACTCTACATATGGAACTTATTGCCATACATCGGGTGACATTTGCTTGGATTATTGTCCAGGCTCACTCATGCATCCATGCATGCATGTATATATGCATGTAATTTATTCATTTGCTTCATGAAATATAATACAATGGAGTTAATTAATATTTTGTCGTCGATCGACCTCATTAACATCATCATCTGACCATTAAATACTATTAATAGCAAAGTCACCTCTAGAAAGGAAAGTACATGTACATATAATATCACAGTTACGTTCACTGACTGATATAAATTTTTCAAATATTGAATTAACACAAAACTGCATAGTTTTGAGTACATTTTCAACATATATTAAGAAAGCAATAATTTGAAAAATTCAAGTTTGATTTTTGTTGCTTGTGCCTACAGAAGTAGTCTCCTTTGCATCCGTTCATCGTCGGGACAGGAATCCCGAAACGCAAACGGATGCGAAGCAACGCCAACTCTTCAAAGGCGAAAATACGTAATTTGATTTTTAAATTTTCTCACGAAAAATACACAGCAATGTCACACATACATTTTATTTCTTAAATCCGGTGCTAGGTTTTTTATTAACAAAATAAGTTATACGCGAGGCCCAGTTTTTTGGAGCGAACTGTGGTGAAAACATGGATCGCCATACTATTTTAATGCTCAACTTCAACTCTTCAAGGGCAAAAATACGTGATTGGATTTTCGAATTTTCTCATGAAAAATACCCAGAAAGGTCGCATATAGATTTTATTTCTTAAATCCGGTGCTAGGTTTTTACGATTGTTTTTAATGTCGCCGCATTTCTTCAAAAAGCCTTGAAATCTGGCCTTTTTTCGTCAAATTTGGCACTTCATACCATGTCATACGGACTGTAAGGTCAAGCTTGAGTGATCACGGACTATTTGTCCCCCATAAGTTCCATATGACATTGGGAGCGAGAGCAACTGCACAAACCAAAAATACACGATATAGAACTACCCACCCTCAGCGCTGCTGACTGTTCTTACCGTAAAGAAATTCAACTTGTGGATGCTGACATGGAAAAAACTATACATGGTTTGCTAGATCCATAGTCTCCTCGCAGCCGTTCTTAGTGGCGGGCTCCCTGTCCCCTACTGATTGTATACAAACCTTTTCAGGATATCTTGGATATAACAACAGCTTCGTATGGTGAAAATTCTCCGTCGGTAGCTGAAGCCTCAGAATATTTGAGTAACCCATCTTATAGCACTAGTGATAGCGCGGTCACAATCTGCACAACGGAATATAACGCAAAGTTGCGGCATGATAAAGGTATTAAGTTTCAAAGTCCAGAATTTAATTTTTTTAGCACTGTTAGCTAGAGTAAAAACATTAAATAATGTGTGCAACACTTTCCACTATTTACTACAAAATAGTGTTAATTATAAATTAAACAATAGAAAACAACGGAATTAGCATAATTTAGCAGTATTTGGTGGTATTTGTGTTGCACAGTTTTAGTGTTTGTACTCTAGATTTTCATATCGCATAATTATGTCGCAGCAAAATATTTTGTTTTAAAATGCTTTAATGCTAAGGATTATTGTTGGTAGCGAAAAGTTAATCCAAGTTATCAATGTGACATGTGCGATAGCAGCCGAAGACCCGAAGATCCGAATACCCATGTATATTGGCTTTCCACCGCTTACAAAAAGCAACAGCAAACACAAAACAAAATAAACAAACATACAAGCAAAAAACTCGAAAATAACAGTCAATTGCCCTGTCGCATAATGAAGGTTCGCCTGTCGATAGTGGAGATAGCTGCTATCGCACATGTCACATTGATAACTTGGATTAACTTTTTGCTACCATTATTATTATTATTATTATTATTATTATTATTATTATTATTATTATTATTATTATTATTATTATCATTATTATTATTATTATTATTATTATTATTATTATTATTATTATTATTATTATTATTATTATTATTGCTATAAGAACTACGTACTACATATTTTGCTGTAAGAACAAGACATGGACGAATCCAGAATTAATGAACTATTATTGAGTTTACTACTTTTACTTTTATTTTTATTACTTTTTTTTCCCTTTTCCAAGTTTCAGTGTAAATGTTAAATGCTAATCAAGTAGCCAATTGTAAATTACCTATCAAGTAGAGAGATTTACAATTGTAGATGTAACAAAACAAGAAAAATAAAGTTTTCATTATTAAACAACAATTTTTCCCAATAGGGAAAAAAATGCACTGGCATGTTGGTGAGGATTGTACTGCTGAAGAAAGGTATGCCTTTTTAAAATATGCGACTGCTTTTAGCTTTTAACATAATTTCCACCACAGTTCTACATTTCGAGTATTCATTATCTGATATTATTACTCGGGGTTCCAAAGGAATCCCGAGTTTGAATTTCGGCTGTCTATTTCGTCCATGGTCGTCCTCGTTTTTCGGTCACAAATTGTCCTCAACCAAACTAGATGGCACTGGGTACGAATGTTATATCAAAACCTATTGTAAAACTCATGAATAATTAATAAGGAAAACACAATAGAATTCACAACCGTGAAGAGTGTTGTAAGTATAGTTTACAACATGAGCGGCCGTGTTGTATGGGAATTACAAT